TTTCGCATGGCAAAGAAGATATTGAAAAATCTCAAACCGCATTAGACGAAAATTCTACGGTTTCTGATGAAACTAAGATTATTTTGAAAAGTGTTTATGAGAATGTCAATATGTTGGGTACGAAAATATAATTTTGAACAAATTGTTGACAGAGAGACATGGTGAAAAAGCATTAGTAGCCTGTATGAAGGGATTAGTCTAGCAGAATTTTTAATATGTGAACCTGAACAAGAATTTACAGAAAATCTGACAACTAAGTGAAGTTTTGAGCACATTTTAGTACTTTTTATTTTTATACGCAAAAATGTGTCGAAATTTTGCACGTATTTTCGTACAAAGAAGCTTTCAACACAATCCATGTGGGACTAAAATGTACAAATCGATGAACTTGCTCCGCTCGTTAAACAGAGTCCTAGCTATATGAATTATTTTGACACTTGAAAGCTCTATTGATTCTGTCTGTCTATCTGTTACGTGCCGTTGGATCCGATCGGGGAGGAGGCGGTCACTTTTATCACTGTATACTTCAACACCAATTTCCAATCGTGTTTCACAAACAGCTGAAATATGTTTAAAATTCTGTTTAATTTCGAATTTTCTATGTTAATTTATGCTCAGCGAGTGCCCGCTAAAACTTGCACGATTGTTTCATTTGTAGAGAAAATTAGTACTTGTTTTTCACATCGCTGCCCAATTAGAAATGTTGAACATTCTTTTTCATCAATATCAGACCGTTGAGATCTTTATGTTATAAGTCATGGTTACTCGACCGACTTTTCTTTCGGCAGATTGGGTAAAAGACAAACGCTTTGTAAGAGTCCATAACGCAAATGAATTATAAAGTAATTCAGATTTACAGAGAATCTTTATTGAACCTTCAATAGAGTTACTATTAGTAATTGTATCACTTGATTTATTATTGAGCATCAACGTTGAGAATAAGTGATCAGGGGCTACCAGGGATTATAGGGATTAAAGGGGTTAGAGAGATTATCAGAAATTTAAAGGCTATTTTTGAAAAGTAACAATTTTTTTTATAAAGTTTGACCATAGGTAATCGGAGTAACCCCCCCTCCCCATAACAGAAACCCCTTCCATATTAGAAGCCCTCCCCTCTTAGAAGCCTCCTCTGAAAAAGTTGATCTGCAAGACTTATTAGAAGCCCCTTTCATTTTCAAAAAGTTTTAAGAATTGTTTGAAAAGTTTTATAAGTTTTTCATAGTACAATTTAAGAAATTGCAAGATTTTACGCCAAAAATGTATTAAACTCTTATTTATCGGTATCAAAATCTCGAAATGTCTTCGAAAATCTTTCAAACAACCCATAAAAACCCGGAAAACCCCTTCGCCCTTTTGAAAAGTTATTCTACTTAGAATCTTTGAAAAATCATGAGACCTGATAGAAACCCCCTCCAAAAACCTTGAACGCTCGTCAGTTTAGAAGCCCCGGGGGGCTTCTATTATAGGAGGGGATTTAGTAGATATCGGATATAGCAGATGCAGAACATATCTCAGATCCAAAAGGCATTTCACATAAATCATATATAGTAGACATACGATCTATTGCGTGTGCGTCGTCGCATATATTGCTGTTTCAACGGCACCAACAACAGCTGCAGTCTTGTGTGCCTCTAGCCGTGCATATCAGTCTCCTCGTCGCACCCAAACTAACAATGGAAGGTCGCGTACTGCCAGTGAAGGAGATTGAACATATTCGGGTCAAATAAAAGCTCTCACTGTGAAACTAACAAATTTAAAATATTACGTGCCCATAGCATATCTAGAGCAAGTTACTCAAATTTCAAGATATGTGAAATTTAGGTATAAAAATGAATCTGGACAGGTTGACTCCACTATTGTCCGAACAAAACATGGTGTTGTTCAGGCCACATGAAAGAGGGCCTCTGCAAAACCCTAAGCGACCCGAACAACGCTATGTTTTGTCCTTACAATAGTGGAGATAATCTTTCCTGATTCATTTTTATACCTAAATTTCACATATCTTGAAATTTGAGTAACTTGCTCTAGATATGCTATGGGCACGCAATATTTTAAATTTGTTAATTTTACAGTGAGAGCTTTCATTTGACCCGAATATGTTCAATCTCTTTCACTGACAGTACGCGACCTTCCATTGTTAGTGATAGCATTGTTTGGATTCTAGATGAATACATCTGATATTTCATCAATTATTATTCGTAGCTATCAGTCATCGGATTTATCTGCATGCAAAGCTACGATATTAGATGGACATAGGGGGTATGATAATGACATAAGATATTTCAATCAGGCCTTTGAAACGGATATGGCAGATATTGAAAAAAATTATCTTCAAGTGCCGAATGCTCACTGGTGGGTTGCTGTATCGACGGATAACAATCGTATTGTAGGTCAAGTAGCTGTCCAGCCTCTGCGTCTTGGAGATCAGATTTACTATGAGCAAACACCATCGAAAGAAAGAGATGAAATCTGTGAGTTGCGACGAATGAGTGTGGCTCCTGATTCTCAAAGACATGGCATCGGTTCTCGTTTATTAACAACTTTATTGAACTTTGCTCGAGAGCATGGTTATCGGAAAGTACATCTAACCACATTAACCAACATGAACAAAGCTTGTGCATTCTATGAAAAGCATGGCTTTGTGAAAGGTGATATCGTTCGCATTGCATTCGATGAATCGACTGTTGAAAAAGTTATGCAATGCAAAGAACATATCTTGAAAATCTTTTCAAACGCGGTCATTTTCAAACATGGAGATGCCATACCTGAAGAAGACCAACAACGTATGAACTTGCCACTAAGAATATCGAAATATGCCTATGTGCAACATTACTTTCTTGCATTGTAACGAGAGTGATAGCTGGCATTCATTATTCTGATTTCTACTTGTATTTAGAATAAGTAGAAATAATTATTCAATAAAGTGATTCGCTTTGATAATCAACCTAATGAGAACTTTGTAATGAATACAGAGCAGTAGAGTATCGTCGATGTAACATTGATGATTCGTATGGCATTCGGATGCACTCTTTTTGCCAGCGTTCACCTCTCCTAAGAAAACTGCTTTGCCAACTTCTAATCTATGACTAATCATCTTTAGTATACAAGTTCAAGGTTTATCAAAAACTTCACGTTTTGTCCTTAATATGTAGAACTACTAGATAAACGTGAAGTCGAGAGATGCAGAATCTACTTATAGGTTGCAGAGGCGGTGATGGTCCAGATCGGTCATTAGTGTAACATTTAGGTAACCTAACTGATACAGATTCAAAACCTCGGGAATGACGAGTATCGATAAGGCCGTTTTTCTGCTGATAATATTTGAAAAAAGCTATTAGTACAATCTTTGCGGGAGTAAAATGTGAAACACGATGTAGCTGTTGTTATTAAACACGCGAACATTGTTTTATTCAATCTATCTTTGGACGCATTTTTCAGCATATTTTACTCAGTCCTCTAGAACTGTAATGAGGAACCAGCTTGTGGGTGTGGATGTGAGCGTGGAAGAAAGGAAGACCCACGCCCTCAACGAAGCAAAAACCAAAGTGTTACGGACCACATTTTTCATTTATTTCCCTCAGCAATTTTGATTTGTTGTTTTGCTGAACAGTTGAAGACAAAGTGAAGAAAATCAACAATCGAAAAATAATTCGACAAGCCAACCATGGTCTTCACTCGTTCTGCAGTTGGGCGAGAATGTTTTCGAAAGATTTCCAAGAGAGAGTTGTCAGAAGTTGTGTACCGATGAATATGAAACGAACAGTTATCCACGACCGTGTGCCATAAACCATATTCCCATACGTATTGTTTAAGTTCATAGACAATCATCTTTTGCTGTTTTGACACCGAACGCATTGCTATTTCATGTATGGTATTACAATAGTAGAGGGTGTGGGTGTGGATGTGGGTGTGGATCTTCTCTGTACATCCGAAATTCACACCCGCACCCACACCCACACAGCCACACCCACACCTACACAGCCACACCCGCTCCCACACTCACACCCACACAGCCACACCCACACTCACACCCACACACCCGCACCCTCACACCCCCACACCCACACCCCACTCACATACATGGTTACAGTCAAAGTGACACACCGACACCCAATGTGACTATTCAACATGTGTGCGAAAATACAAGAGGCACGAGAAAAAGAACTAAATGAATTTTATTTCATGATGGTCGATACATGACATCAGTACGGACAGTGTATTTACGGCCCTCGGTTAATTTTGAACCTTCGTGTAAGATATGATGTGTAAAGACAAGTACCATTCCTGTACGTGGTACACAAGGAACATTCTTGGTCGAATCATTATAATGGATGAAGGTTGTTTCACCACCCTTATACCCTTCGTTCAAGTACAGTTGTACAGTCTAGATTGAAAACCATTATATATATATATAGCAATGTATAGGTTATCTCAAATGTTTGCCGCAATATAAAACTGCAAGATATCTTCAACAATCCAAGTGATATATATAACCTTTTCAGCATATCATAGGATATTTTCTGAAGTTTCTTGTCACATAGCTTTATCTACAAATGTTGTTCGAAAATTGTCTGCATCAACTGCAATGCGTAAATTTATGCGCTTCGAAAGATTTATAGAAAAACAGTCTATAATGCTGTTAATAACCTGTCCATATGTGAATAGGAATTGATGATGAGTTGAGAATGATATCAGAACTACTTTTATCAACTGTTCTTCTATGTTTCGAAACACATGTATTGATGGATTGCAATTGGTGCTGACCATTGAAAATAATATTTGTAAATGAGATCATGTGAAATAAAACTTCAAAGTCGAAGCTAAAAAGTGATAAAAATTCATGAATCGTTTAAGATAGGCAAAATTTATTGCAGTGTTATTTGAAGCTGAACTTTCAAGATACTTTGTGCTTTCATCTTGCAGCATACTCACAATCATACTTTTCTCGCCGGAGCCATCTTCACGTGCGTAAACGCCATCTTTACATATAAAAGTCAAAATTATATTGTATTCAAATAGAAAACTGTTTGAGGAGTCGTACCCATATGTGGTTCAAATTTTTGGCCTGGATCATATCGAAGAAATCGAAGGCGTTCATTAAGGCCAACCAAATGATAACCATTGTATATTTTCGGTAAAAGTGATTCGATACGTTGAAAGAGAATGTTGACCATATTCACATCATCAATAATACATCGATCACTATCACGGAAATCAGTCATTAGCTTTTCGCGTCCACCCCCTATATTTACTTTTGCAGGACTGTAACCACGTTGTTCAGTCAACTCAATCCAATCTTGACATTCTTTCGATGTGAAAACATTCAAAAGAATGAAAGCCAGTTTGTCTCGGTCCTCTGCATTCGGTAGAAGTACGTCCGTTTTCACAATCTGACGATTCTCTGTCGACATGAAAATGATGCAGAAAGTAATACTGTAAAAAAGAATTTGAGACAGATGGTGAATAAATAGTGTCAATGAGAAATGCATCTCACTATGACACTTTTTATGAGTCATAAATATTGAAGAGAATACGTGGGTAGTTAGGTATGAAATGTTATTGTAATTTAAGAGAAGATCTACTCACTCACATTCCACTTCCTTCAATCTTTCAGAGAATATGTTGAGAGCCTTTATATTTCTTTACGAAACTGTGAATATTTCGTAAGTATCCTGTACTTTTTTGAATCACTCCTTCATGACTGTTGTCGTGTCGCATTAAAGGTCGTTTTTTTTTCTTTGTTAAATATTTACTTTCTTTTCAATGATATGCTATCATGAAATTTTCTTCATTATGAAAAGGTACTCCCTGTTAATAAAAGGAGAGAAATGCAGTCATTCTTTCTTTTTCAAAAATCATTTTTACAACTGCATCGAGAAAAAGCATGTCAATGTTTGTTGTCCAATAACCTCAATCCATATTCGCATCCTCCTACATTGTTCATTTGATATTTTAATTTAACAAGTTTGAATCGTTGAATGATAACATATGAAAGCTCATCTAGAAAAAAGATGCTGTGCTCGGAAGCTTACTGAACGATTAAATCCATGTGCATGACAGACTAACATGATAATTGAACCTGACTAAATGAAGAATAAAATCATAGTTGCCGTTTCCTATGACATCTTTCTCATCATATTGTCATAAATATAAAAGAAATCAGGTATTGAAGATGTAGTTGATAGTTCTATTAAGTCTCTGCAATATAACTATGTTCCATAGATCTGGCATATTGTTAGAGCAGTAATTCTAAATGTAAACACTTTAGTAATAGTAAAATTTCCGAGTGCGCCTTCCGACCATAAAAATTGTTATAATTTTGATTTATTTATTTGTTTGACATTTTATTAACTAGATGATTTTAACTCCTCCATCGATATACCACTAATGATAACAGTCAGAGTTTGTGAATCCCACATTTTGGTCTTTTCAAGACCGCATTGACAAGTTTTTTTTTTATTAAGCAACAATTTCGATCTCGAACAAATCAAAAAATCGATTGACTAATTGAGAAAGAAAGATTCGTTACGAATCTCGTCGTCTATCGATCATATTTTATCATTGATTTTCGACAAATAAAAGTGGCACAAAGAAAAAATTGATCAACTGTTGATTGTAGAATTCATTTCGAGTTTCAAGATCAATCTAACAAATCTGCTCGTTTTTCTTTTTCAATTCTTGAATTGAAATTTAGTTCGCTGAGGGTTTCAAATATCGATCAAGATTTTATCTTCATTCAAATTCGTATCAAGTTCAATATTTTACGTAACAATATTCGATAGTTTTTCAATTTTTTCCTTTTTTTAGATCTCTTTTTTTTTGTTGAACAAGAAGAATAAAAAGATCAATTATTGATCTCTGTATCAATATTCATCCATCAATTATGCTTTCTAGAATTAATAGAATACATAAAAACAAGGTTCAATCTTAGACAATTTCCGATTTAAATTCAGTCAAAACCATTAATATCAATGATCTCGAAACGGTTAATAGTATAGAAAATTATTTGAAGCGTCAAGTTGACGATCTATAAATAAACCCAAATCCATATGCTGCAGCTTTAACAACAAGAATCTCTGTCAAAATTGAAATTCTATTGAAAAAAATTTGAAAACTATCGAATATTGTTACGTAAAATATTGAACTTGATACGAATTTGAATGAAGATAAAATCTTGATCGATATTTGAAACCCTCAGCGAACTAAATTTCAATTC